TGCCGCTCCCTTTATTCGTTGCATTTAGCCTCACGGATCTCCGCCAATCCCATTTCTTGAACATTAGAATTTTCACTTGTGGAATTTTCTAAATTTCTAGCCATTATATTTTGTGCTATATACGTTTTATCAAAGAACCTTTGCAAGTAAAAAAATTCTAACTCTAATAAGAATGTATGAAAAATATATTTAAATGGACTAGAAAATAAAGAAAAAACCTTTTTGTGCGAGAGTCTTCTACGAGTATGGATTTCAACTCTCAATGAAAAAAACACCAATTTGTGGATGCAATGCAAATTTCACACTCTTCGATTTCGATTTGGACGATTTTGCAACTACAAAACAACTAAGCACCTTAGGTTAAGGCCAAAAGCCTCACGCGCCCACGAATGAATGGGGGGGGGGCTTTGGCCGAAGAACCTCCGATGCCAAAGTTAGAATTTTAGAGAGAAATAGTGTTTAGAGTGTTTTGGAATTTTTGCAAGAGATTTGAAATTAGTGTTTTGGTATAGAAATGGAACTGTGAATATTTATTAGGACTAAGTTGGTCCATTTTTCCAAAGAAATGGCCGGCCACTTTGTCCATGTTTTTGGTGAATTTGTGGTTTAATTAGCCACCCTTTATTGGCTAATAAAATATGATAGAAATAAATGGGGGTTATCAATTGAAAGGATTATGATTAGCTTTATTTGGGTAATAAGATGGAGAAAGTCAAAAGGTAAGAAGAACAAAAGGGAGTAAATGTGGCCGGCTACTAGGTGGGAATTTTAGGGTTTAATTAGCCAATTAATTGGCTAATTTAAAATATGAAAGGAAAATATTTTAGTTATTTATGATATTGATTTGGCTAATAAAAGGGAAAAATGATGGGAAAAAGTAGAAAAAAGGTAATGGACTAGGTTTTGAATGGGATAGCCGGCCCTATAGTATTTTTTAGGTTTGAGTGGATGTTTCAAATTGATAATTAAGGGATTGATTGGTGGGTAATTAATCCCTTAATTAATCAATTTTTTAGGAAACATGAAAGGATATATATTTATTTAGCTAATTGATTAGCTAAATAATGGAATATAAAACATATAAAATAAATTAGGTTTTGGGAATTACCTTATAGAAAGGATTTGATGAAATAGGCTTTAAATCGTTACCTATTTTGAGCACTTTTAACTTGGTTGAAAGATAATTTCCTACTGCTTGTGCGTAGGAATCCCGGTATGCCTCGAGGGTATTTTTGTCCTCTTTTGTCCAAAAGTCCACGTGTCGCCTAGTGAATATTTTTGGCTCCACATCCTCTCTCTACATTTACCCACTCATTTTCATTAATGTCTCTGTAGACATTGAAATTTCGGTAAATAAATATTGACCGATAAATCAAAGTTTCAACGCTCATGTATTACATAAATTTTACACGTAGCGTATGTCTAAACAAAAAATCGAAATAAGTTGGAAAAGTCATCAAACAGGACACATGTCAACATCTGGCAGAAACGACTTATTTCATCTGGAATATTATATTCAAAATTAGGCCTTGGAAAATTCTATAAATAGAAGCCAATTTCATTCATTTTGGAGAACCAAAATCATTAGGCAAAATTCTTGAAGCTCTGAAACTCTGAAACTCCGAAGCTCTCAAGCATCCAGGTTCCCGAAGAATCAAGAAAGCTCTTTTCGTTCTTCGTTCTTCGCTCATCGTTCATCCTAAGATCAAGCCTCAACGGCCCTTTGGATCAACAATCATCCACCAATTCAAGATCAAGCCCCGACGCCCTTGAAGAAAGTGTTCTTCGTTCTTCGTTCTTCGTTCATCGTTCTTCCAAGATCAAGCCCCGACGGCCCTTGGATCAACCATCCACCAATTCAAGATCAAGCCCTAAAGGCCCTTGAAGAACTTCCACCAATTCAAGATCAAGCCCCAACGACCCTTGAAGAAAGCACCATCGTTCATCCAAGATCAAGCCCCAACGGCCCTTTGGATCAACAACATCAACGAATCCACATAGCCATCGTTCTTCAAGATCAAACCCAAAAGCCCTTGAAGATCTGTTCATCACTGTTCTTTAAGATCAAGCCCAAAAGCCCTTGAAGATCCGCTCATCACCGTTATTCAAGATCAAGCTCAACGGCCCTTGAAGAAACACTCCTCCTCAAGATCAAGCCCCCAACGTCTCCTTGAAGATCCGCTCAAATCCACCTTCAAAGATCAAGCCCACGACCCCTTGAAGAAACTTTCAACAGTTCATCCAAAATCAAGCCTCCACGGCCCTTGGATCAACCAAATATCCATAAATCAAAACCTTACGGAGATCGAATCAGAGGATCAAAATAGAGAGAGATTGTAACCCAAAATCATCAAATACAAATATTTGTTTGTGCACGTTGTTCTTGTCTCTTTCGTTTCAGGAATTTTCCGTGTTCACAGTCTCTTTCTCCCTCCTCTCTATGTGTTCCTCTCTCTTTCTCTTTCCTTTCTCTCTCTCTCCACTTCTTTCGATCCCTCTTGTGGGACCATGATTTTCCAGGGACGGAGTAAGGCGGATCGAAGTACGATTGCCTCAAAAGTACGGCCATGGACTCAACAACTTCCACCATTGAGCTACATAGACAAATCAACGATGTCACCATCATCCTGTTATAGAGTAGTGGGCGAAGTTCAACGAGTTCGCTGAGATTGACCACGCTTGTTCCACAAGATACGAGAACTTGATATGGTATGGAATCAACGAAGTTTTCTATATTCTAAGGCTTGACGTACACTGCAAGTAATCACATTCGTAAGAGGATGCAAAATCTACTTCTAGACATCCTCTGGGATTCTCACGGTTTAATACGGAGTCTATGTCGTAAAATAACTCTATCTCGATAGTGTAACATACCCTTATAGGGTTCATCTTTGGTAACATAACTATCATACATTTATTCTCTTGCCTACTGCTTGAGTCTTATATGTTTGCTTACTATTTGACCTTCGGAGAGCCTTTGGTTAGCACCTTACCGGTCCTTAGGTTTCTTACAATTTTTTTTAAAGGTAACAAGTTTCTACATCTTCACTGTTCACAGTGGTGCGCGAATTTGGTTCAAAAAATTGGTGTTTTCATTGAGAGTAAATTTATACTTCCCTGACTAAATTACTCTACTACAACAATGACTATTTCAAAACGTCCCAATACTTCTGTCGCCCTAGAACACAGCTACACTTCTAGTGCTAAAGACGTTCTAGCCATGGAACGAATATGGGAAACCTGATGAAAATTAACGCCTTCGTTAAAGTTCGAAAAGCTTCTCAAATGAAGGTACAGTCAAAGCTTATTGACCTCGAAAAATGTGTAAAAGCCCTTGAAGGCGTCTTCTTCAGTTTTGAGGAGTCATTGATTGAGGCAACACCCGTTTAGATTCTAGCGAAAACTGCTGACCTGAACCCTTGTGCTAAGTACCAGCGGAAACTGCACATGACAACATTCTTTCTTAGCTATATTAGTGGTTTGATTCTCCTTACCCTGAGATGTGTAGGAAATTCAATTTGGATTCGACCACACCCCCAATCAATCGCATTCTCTCCTCGCTGGAGATTATGTGCAATTCCGATGAATTTGGCCTCAGTCTATGGATGTGCGTAAATTTAGTTCTAACAATTGATGCTTTCATTGAGAGTCAACTTATATTCCTCCGGGCAGCAACCGTTGCCATGAACAATGATGAAAACCATAAGATCTTGAAAACAAAACTTTGATTGATGATCCAGAGAGAAAATATCTTGAGGTTCGTAACAACCACCAATTCTGGTGACTCACACGAAGAATGTTTTTTCAATGGATTTATTGCTGCTACTACCATGATTTTTTCCCACAAACACAAAAAGCGAGGGTTTCTAATATCTTTGTTTGTTTTCTTTCAATATCTTAATTGCTTTGAAAAGTTTGAATCATTTTAGCATGAAACAACTAAGAGCACAATATGACTAATTATTATCAAAATGTAGCAATATTGGCGAAGTTAGGAATTGTCGGGGGAATGGGCGAAATTTTAAAGGTAAAAGGTCCCAACAAAATGTAGCAATCAAATCCTAAACATCAAGCTAATCATTCTAACGACATGTTTACAAATATGTAATTAGGTAATACTGCAATTAATACATCTCAAATACAAACACAAACAAAAACACAAATAATAACAACCCCCAACAAAAAGAATAAGACCATGAAAAACATAAAAAAAAGAAAGACGAATAAGACTAAATTCATTAGATTGAAATGGTACCTGGAGTCTGAAAGAATAAAGGGAATGCATGTAAAATCAGGAGGTGAATTTTCATGAAATGCCAAAATGCAGACCCAGCAAACATTGATATACCCTAAAGCACTTGGGAAGCTAGAAATTTCTTCAATCTTAGAAGCGCCTCATGAGATGTCATTATAGTGCATGTAAATGGAATATCAGTTAACAAGAAAATTTAGATTTCACATATGATGGTAACAAAAAGAGGGGGAGGGTCTTATTGGAGCGGTATTCTAATACGACATAAATTATGTAGAGCAAAATTCAAACTGTAGGGTATGGTGCGTGTTACGTAATTCGTAACACTTTCTATAGTGAGTGGAAGAAAAAAAGTATTCAAGATAATACAAAATTCAAGATAAAATAAAATAGTGTTTGAACAGAGGTTTGACAGAGATAAATGGTCAACAAGAAGAATTAATTTAGAATGGAGTTCATTGGATGTCCCCAAAATGGACGGTTGATGAATTTATTCATATTTGACAATAATCAGCGTAATTAATGGCAGTAAACACGTGTCGAGTTAGTTGAAAAATTTAATTCTTCTTGCCATGATGTTTAGAGACTCATCAACTAATTGGCTAATCCCACTTCTAAGTCGAAAACCAAATCTGAATTAATTTGGATAAGGGTCTTTGGATAAATCCAAATCCTAATCCATTACCTACCGCGACCCAATGGATAAAATCCATCCATTATAAATATAAGTGGCAATTAACACTAATTTCTATGCTCTATTTCTTCTCTCCATCAAATTATCTATCTTGTTTTCTACATACAGCCATAGTTCCAAACTCCAATACACATTTCTACCTATTTTTCTCTCTATCTCTCTCTCTCTCTTTCTCTAGCTTGATGGCTGACCAGAGGGCGAACGAGAATGCCGTCACCAGCGGACCGCAGAATACAAGCATTGAAGATATTGATCCTCCAAAGAAGCCAAAAACTAGCAAGTTCGCTATTGCCTGTGCTCTTTTGGCTTGCACAACTTCAGTCTTACTGGGTTATGGTAATTCTCCATTTTTTTATTGGAATTCTCCTTACAGTTCACGAGTTTCCTAAATTTGTTAAAGTGATAAGTGATCAATGTTTGGAGATCGTAACGTATTCATACCAGAAACATGAAAAATATTAGAAAATTAATTTGTTTAAAAAAATTGTTGTTACTCCTCCAAAATAAGTGTCATATATACTCGTCTCGTTATATTTTTAAATTTATATTGATTCAAATCTCATAATTTTATATTACTTATTGATTTTATTTACAGATATTGGTGTAATGAGTGGAGCGTCACTCTTTATCAAAGAAAATCTTAAAATCAGTGACGTTCAAGTCGAAGTACTTGCTGGTACTCTAAACATCTACTCCCTCCTCGGCTCCGCCTTTGCCGGCAGAACCTCCGACTGGATCGGCCGCAAGTACACCATTGTTCTAGCGGGAGTCATCTTCTTGGTCGGAGCTCTCCTCATGGGATTTGCCACCAACTATGCCTTCCTCATGGTTGGCCGGTTTGTTGCCGGAGTCGGTGTTGGCTATGGTATGATGATTGCTCCTGTCTACACTGCCGAGATCTCTCCGGCATCGTTCCGTGGCTTCCTCACATCTTTCCCAGAGGTTTGTTTCGATTTTTGTTTTTTGCTTACTTGCATATATCATCAATTTATACAATGCATGATCATCATGTGAAACAACTTACTTTAGATGTATATGATGTCAAATTTATAGCGTTCATTTGAATTGAATTTGTAACTTTGCACGTGAACTTTTTTGACAAATTTTGATCTCACACCAAAAGGAAAATATATTCTTTTATTGGTTTTTTGAAATAAAATTGCATTGTATTTGTTTGCTGCAGTTTAATTTAAAAACCAAAAATGTTGTGATGAACTTTATAATTTGTTTTGGATAGTAGAATTTATGTTGATTGGCTTGAATGTACATGTGTAGGTGTTTGTCAATGTTGGCATATTACTGGGGTACATAGCCAATTATGCCTTCTCCAAGCTCCCGCTTCATTTGGGCTGGCGGTTCATGCTCGGAGTTGGCGGAGTTCCAGCTATTTTTCTCACAGTCGGCGTCCTATTCATGCCCGAGTCTCCTCGGTGGCTCGTTATGCAGGGGCGACTCGGCGACGCTAAGAAAGTCCTCCAAAGAACTTCAGAGTCCAAGGAGGAGTGCCAGCTCAGACTAGACGATATCAAAGAAGCCGCAGGAATCCCACCCCACTTAAACGACGACATTGTTCAGGTCACAAAACGCAGCCACGGTGAAGGCGTATGGAAAGAACTGATCCTCCATCCTACCCCAGCCGTTCGCCATATTTTAATCGCAGCCGTCGGTATCCACATCTTCGAACAAGCGTCTGGTATAGACACTGTCGTTCTGTACAGCCCAAGGATCTTTGAGAAGGCAGGTATCACCTCCTCCAATCATAAGCTACTCGCCACCGTTGCCGTTGGATTCACCAAGACAGTTTTCATCTTGGTCGCCACATTTTTCCTGGACAAGTTCGGACGGCGTCCGTTGCTACTGACCAGCGTGGGCGGAATGGTATTTTCCCTCATGTTTCTCGGAGTTGGCCTTACAATCGTCGACCATCACAAAGGTTCAGTCCCCTGGGCCGTCGGATTGTGCATGGCCATGATATATTTCAATGTGGCATTTTTCTCAATCGGGCTAGGGCCCATCACGTGGGTATATAGCTCCGAGATCTTCCCCTTGAAGCTACGCGCTCAAGGAGTCAGTATCGGTGTGGCTTGTAATAGGGTTACGAGTGGGATCGTCTCTATGACATTTATTTCACTGTACAAGGCCATCACGATTGGCGGGGCCTTCTTTCTTTATGCTGGAATTTCTGCTGCTGCTTGGATGTTCTTTTATACGATGCTGCCGGAAACACAGGGCAGACCCCTAGAAGATATGGAGGTCCTGTTTGGTAAATACCACAGGTGGAGAAAAGCCGATGCAATGCTCAAGGAGAGAAAGCAAGTTGATGGTGATGACAACGACAATGCCCAAGTTTGCTAGGAATAATAACTGGAAAAGATTTATTAGGGTTTAGTAGAAGTAATTGGGGTTTTTTTTTTATTTTTTATTTTCGAATGATCTTATCGGATGCTCAGTTGTGTGTGTCTCTTTTTTCTTTTTTTTTTTCGAATGATCTTATCGGATGCTCAGTTGTGTGTGTCTCTTCTTATTTTTTTTTATTCTATACAATGAAGGAAATTGTTGTTAACATTTACAGTTTAAGTGTGATTGTGTAAATCCTAGATTAGATTTGATTGTAATTATTATTTCCTATTGTATCTTGTATTCCTTGGGAATGAAGGAATATCTTCTCTCTTTTTACTATTATAAATAAAGGCACAATGAATAACAACACATGTTCCTCTTTAATTCTACAAACACATCACTCTCTCTCTTCTCCTTGCCGTCGACCCTCTTTAACCTTATCAGATAAAATAGACCACAACAGAAATGAATTTAAGATGGGATTAGATAAGTTTCTTTTTTCTTCTGAAAGAAGTTTGTAGTTTTTTTTTTTTGGGTAAATTACACAAAACTACCTCAACTATTGGGTCATTAACAATTTCATACCTCGTCTTTAAAAAGTTTCAATGTCATACCTCATCTACGAATTTGTTACAATTTCATACCTTCCGTCAATTGCCTATCAATTCCTCCGTTAAAATGTTGACGTGGCTTGAGGTGGGACCCATTTTCTATTAAAAACTTAATTAAAAATCAATTAATTATTTTTTTTTAAAAAAACCCAAAAGTCCCAAACCCAGATCCCCTTCCCCCCATCCCTCCATTCCCTTCCCATCTTCCTCGTCGGTCCTCCCCCTAAAAACCTTCCTTCCAAGCCCAGAACCCCTCCCCCACCTCCCCCGCAACCCCCACCCCTTTTCACTACTACAAAAGGGCCTTATAGTGTCAATGGGTGATGTTGGTTTAATATAATATAGTGGCGGACAAGACATTTGCGACACCAACTGAACATGACGTCGGATTTACTGTCGCTCATAAACATCATAAATTGTCTATGTCACTTTTAACCAACGTAAACATTTACTATTGCTTATAATTGACATACATTATAATAATTTTTAAATACTGGTGTCCCTTTAAATAAAACTGACATACCCTGACCGAGATCAAGGCATGCTGGCCGTCACGTGAGGGTGACATAGCCATGTGCACAGTGCGGAAGCGATGAAGATAAGAAATATACGAATAATTAAAAACCCAAACTACTAGAGTGCACTACTAAACATGAAGTGTTAGGAGTAAGATACAAAAGTAAATACTCCTAATCAGAGCATAGAAAGTCTAGGTGCAGTCCAATAGGACAAGTACTAATTATATAGTACCATAAGCTGTCCTACAATTATTTTGATAGGTCAGAACCACCGAAGTCCTCGCACCCAGCAACTGCAAACTTACCTAAAACCTGGAGGGGCGCAAAACAGAAAATGTGAGTGGGCAAAACAAATGTTTTACAAAACCATTTCATTTATCAACATTTCTAACCCCTCGTTGTAAAACATGTATAATTTTTCCCAGAGTTAGAATATAAGCATATACATAAATATATATGAAATATATCAACTCAATTCATGCTTCACATAATCATATTTATATGTATGCAATGCCAAGATATAACAGAGTAAGCAATTCAAGTGAGAATAAATTCATGGAAATATAACATATTAGCCAGAACTCCTGCATAAGTCTGTACGGCTGAATTTATAGCTCAATAGTCAATCTAGCCAGAGTCACGACAATGACTTATACGGCACTATACTGCACAAGAGTTGGAGCAAAATGAAAGGTTTGTACGACAATACTGGTTGTAATATAATTATGCTCAATACTACTCTCATATAATAGTTGGGCGATAAATCGCTAGTCACCTACGAGTCAGAACCATAATAAAGGTCTGTACGACAAGACTGTACACCTAAATTGGATCCAATATGAGCATATGGTGCGGGAGGTGACATTATAAACAGGCCCGTGCCCTATCTCTAGCTAAATCACAATCACCCTAGGTGCAGTTTTATGAGCTCAACGTTATTCAATCACATATCACATCATTGATAATTCACATAACCAAACATAACTCACCTGAGCTTACCTGAGCATCCACATCACCACAATTATATATAATGCATCATATACCAATTCATATACGAATTATAAACTTATATGTGTGGCATTCAAGGCATAATCTCATTTAAACATATTTTTTTGGGAAAATATCAAGTATATAAATATATATTGAAAACCAAAAGCCCACTCACTGGTTTGTCGAAGGGTCGTAGCCCCCGAGTCACCCTTGAAGGCGCTCGTCCTCGGGATAAGTCTCATCTATATGCGAATTAACTATAAAAATGTTATTTAAAGCACATAGACAAAACTAGCTAATAACTTCTCATACAATGCTCAAATGGGGTGTTTGAATATACCAACGTGATCTACACAACTCCACGAACATCCCCATATTTTTAGAATAATTTTCCGACCACCCACGCGCCGGCTAAGGCACGGCCAGATGCATCGCCCATGCGCGGGCACGTGCCTGGCACACTGACGGTGGCAGTAACGGCGTTAGGGAATATTCTGTTAAATTATGGAATATTCTGTCTAAAAACTAACGGTGTCACCTTAGGCCGTTAGCATATTCCATCAAAATTGACGAAATATACCCTTTCTTCCCTGACGAGCCACCGGACGTCGACGATTGTTCATCGGTTTCTGAAAAAATTTCAATTCCTTTCCTTCATTTCAACACCAAACTTAATGAAATTTGAACCATTTTAAAGATCTCATCAAGAAGAATCGAACCATACCTGAGTCGAGCCCTGAAACCGCGGAAAAAAGCCTCAATAATTCGGCCAAACTTAAAACGTGTCGTTCTCGCTATTCCGACGTCCAAAATCATCCAACGAACCACTCCTAGACTCGTGAGGACCTCCTTAAGCTACCTATAAGCTTGAAATCCCCAAAAACATAAGATTTTATGTTTTCATGAATAGTACCTCAAATCAGAGGTTATGGTTCTCGGGGTTTTTCAAGGTCTCACGTTCTAAAAATAGTATATATGTACTCAAGAGCTTGCAAGGAACAAGAATATTACCTTTAGAACGTCGATCCATACGTGAGTGTGAGTTTTGTTGATCGTCCTTACGTGAGGGAATGAGAGAGAGTGAATCTGAGGGTGAGAGAGTACGGGAGAGAAGAAAGAGAAGGAATTTTGTGTGTGTGTATATGTTCCACGTGGTCACCAACCACCCAAAGAAAAATAACATCTAAGTCTCAAAGTATGCCATACACACTCTACAATTTCAATGTCCAAAGATAAAATCGTCATTTTACATCATCGATAATAGTAATTCGAGATAGGCTGTGACAATCTACCCACCTTATAAAAGTTCGTCCTCGAAATTATACACAACAAATACATCCATTAATAATCATAAAACAAGTGTGGATACATCTCTCTTATCCGATCCTCTGTCTCCCAAGTAGCTTCTTTCACTGAATGATTTCTCCATGACACTTTCACCAAACGCATAGTCTTATTCCTTAGTTCCTTATCCTTCCAATCCAAAAGAGTCACTGGTTCCTCATCATATGTCAAATCTGCATTAATCTCCAAAGGTTGAGGAGGAATCACATGTGAAGGATCTGAAACATAATGTCGAAGCATCGAAACATGAAACACATCGTGTACCTTGGACAACTCTAGAGGCAACTCAAGCCTGTAAGCAACCTTACCGACTCGCTCAGTGATCATATATGGTCTAATGTACCTGGGACTCAACTTGCCGTTCTTTCCAAATTGTACAACACATTTCCAAGGTGATAGCTTCAGAAATACCCAATCACCTACATTATACTTCCGATCAATGGCATGCTTGTTTGCTAAGCTCTTTTGTTGATCCTGGGCCGCTTTCAGGTTAGACTTAATTATCTGAACATTTTGAGTAGTCTCCTCCACAATCTTAGGGCCCACTAAAACTCTTTCGCCAACCTCTGACCAACATAGAGGTGTACGGCAAGATTTCCCGTAAAGTGCCTCAAATGGTGCCATACCAATACTTGAATGATAATTGTTGTTATAGGCGAACTCCATCAAATCCAAACAATCATGCCAACCATCGCCAAACTTAAGCACTGAAGATCTCAACATATCTTCTAGTGTCTGAATAGTCCTCTCAAATTGTCCATATGTCTGAGGATGATATGCCGTACTATAAAGTAATTTCATACCAAGAGCTTCTTGAAATGCTACCCAGAACTTAGAAGTAAATCTAGGATCTCGATCTGAGATAATATTAACTGGAACACCATGGTACTTCACAATCTTCGACATAAATAACTTAGCTAATCGGCTTAACGAATATTTTTCCCTCACTGGAATAAAATGTGCTGACTTAGTAAGCTGATCAACTACTACCCAAATGCCGTCAAATCCATTCTGTGTACGAGGAAGCTTGTACACAAAATCCATAGTAATATTTTCCCATTTCCATTGTGGAATGGGAAGTGGCTGCATCAACCCAAACGACTTCTTCCTTTTAGCTTTAACCTGTTGGCAAATGGCACATCTACTCACATATTGAGCAATTTCTCTTTTCATACCTGGCCAATAATAAAATGGTCTAATGGTATGATACATCTTAGTGCCTCATGGATGCATCGCATATGCTGAAATATGTGCTTCATCCAAAATTTCTTTCTTTAACTCTGCATTATTTGGCACATACATTCTGTTTTCCTGCATAAGCATACCATAAGTTTCTCGAATCCCGAAATCTTTCTTTTTGCCTTGATTCCTTGCTTGAATTATTTCCTAGGTCTCTTGATCATTCATCTGGGCCTCGAGCACACGATCAATTAAAATTGGCATAACTTGAAAATTAGCAAGTAAGGCTTCCTCTCGATCTTCCACTCCTAACTCCACTCTAGTGGACCTTAAATCCACAAGAAGAGGAACATGACAATCATAAATGGCATTAAGTCTAGTTGGAGTCTTCCTACTAAGTGCATCTGGCACTGCATTTGCACGGCCATGATGATACTCAATCGTGCAATCATAATCACTAAGTATCTCAATCCACCTCTGCTGTCGAAGATTTAGATCTTTCTGAGTAAACAGGTATTGAAGACTCTTATGATCTATGAAGATCTTACATTTCTCACCATAAAGATAATGTCTCCAAATCTTCAAAGCAAAGATGATAGCTGCTAACTCCAAATCATGAGTAGGGTAATTCTTATC